TGCTGGAGGGAGGGCGCGGCCCGGGGAGGGCACAGTGGGGTCGGCCTACCAGCTGCCCCGGGGGGCTCCCATCTCCCCTTCACCGCCTCTCCCTGACGTGGACCTAGTCATCGGCCCATATCCGTAGGGGGCCCACCCTCCTGTCACTCCCACTGTCCCCTCCCCAGCCACATCACTCCCATCTGTCAAAATGCCCGAGCTGGCCCTCGGCCCTGACTGTCCCCCATTCACCAGTCCCTGTGCCCAATTCACTGAATGTGGTAAAATCTGCAGCAAAGACGAGCAAAAATACCCCATCTCCTTCCAGTCATAGTGGAAGAAGACTGGGGGTGTCATCATTCCACCCAGCTGTACCTGAAGGTGTCTGGAAAGAGGGGAGTCTTCCAGGAGACCACCACACTGAAGAGGAAGGTCTTAGGCTTGGTGAGGAGCCAGGGGTCACGGCCAGCAGGGTGATCTGGGCTGAGTCACTTAAACTCTCTGAGCCTCATTTTCATCATCTCAAAAGGAGGGTGGTGATTCCTTTCCCATAGACTTGTGTGAAGATTAAATGAGACAAGCACAAAGTTTCCGGCATACAGTTGGTGCCCAGTAAATGCTACCCAATCTCACTGCATTGTAACCAAGCGTCTTGTAGCAGGAAATGGGCTAACAGGACGGAGCCCTAATAGTGAGCATCTGGGCAGAGCAGGCGGCTGTACTTTCCTTCCCTGGCATCCAGGTCCTGTCCCCACCCACCCCGCCCTTCCTGGGTTCCGCCAACTCTGAGGCCAGGCTTCTCGGGAGCCCCCAGGGAGCGGGCCGCTGCAGCTGCTGCACAGGGGCCGGGGGTGGCGGGGCACCAGCAGTGCAGCGCAGTTCAGACTCACACAGACGAGAGCCATGAGCAACTCACAGCAGCCTGTCCCAGAGGCGAGCCTCCCGAAAACCCTCACCTCCTGCAACACTGAGATGTAAGCACGCATCTTGGTGGGGGTGCGGGGGACTTTAGGGGGTATGGGGACCACTGGTCATTGGGGTGATGTGGGAAGAGACCATTGGAGGGCCTGGCTCTCATGATTACAGGATAAATTCCCAGCCTGGCCTTCTGGCCCCCTCCCCACCTCAGAGCCCCTCTCTCTCATGAAGTCCAGGTGGATGCTGGCCTTCCCCCGCCTGCACCCCACCCTTGTTCCAGGCTTTTCCCATCTGGACTTGAGCACGATGTCCCCCAGGAAACCTTCCCTGCTGGAAACCCGCCCGTCTTTAGGTCTCACTCCGGAGCCTTCATGGATGTATTTTCACAGTCTGCCTCCAAAGAAAGCTATGTGCGCGTGCGCGCATGCGCGTGTGTTTACACATCAGGGCTTGAAGCCCTGTCTCTTTCCACTCTGCGTCCACCCTCTACTGGCTCTCAGCCTTCTTCCCCAGCTACCCTGAGCCAAATAGGGCTCAATGGGCAACAACTTGGCACCTGCTCCTGGAATGTTACTCCAACACTGGGGCCATAAGGATGGGGCCTGGGATCCCCCTTGGAGTCTTTGTGTCTCTCTGGATGTCTGGTTCTAACTTTCGGCAATTCCCTGCTACCTGGAGAATGGACCCAGGAAACTGGTGGGACTCAACCTCACCTTCCGTAGGCTCTGTGCTGAGGGCCACCACGGCTCCCCACCTGCCTCTGCTGAACCTGAGCATGGCCGCTTGCTTGGCCTCTGGGTCTGCCACGCCCCGTCCTGGCCCGACTCTTAGAAGGCACTGCTCAAGCCCCAGCTGCACCACTAATCCACAGTGTCACCTTGGACCTCTCAGGGTGGCCCCTGGGAATGGGGATCAGGTAGCAAAACACCCAGGGCAGGGGAGGCAGTGTGGTGCAGTGGCCAAGACCACCAGGCTCAGCCCTTGCCTGGGTGTGTGTGACCTTGGACAAGCCACTGCCTTCATGGGTCTCTCTCTGCTTCTGAGTAAAATCTGAAAATTAAAGTCCTTATTTCACAGGCCCCTTGTTAGGGTTAAAGGGGCCAACGTTTGTGAAGCACTCAGAACCATCCCAACAGGCAGAAAACCCTCCACAAATGTCAGCTCTGTGTGGCACTGTTGCTATCATTGTGAGGCTGTTCCGCTTTCGGCGAGGTGTGGGTCACTGCGCCCTTACAACGCTGGGGGCAGCCAAGGACAAGGGCTAGAATGGATGCATGCAGTGGGCCCTGAGGTTCAGCTGAGACATGGAGAAGGTGACCTATGTGGGTCTTGACAAGAGGGAGCCAGAGTCTCAGGGTGTGAAAGAGGAAGGCGTGAGAGCGAACAGGGAGCTGACAGCAGCCCTCGGAAGCTGCACCAGCCGCCACCCCCCCCCGCCGCACCCCGCAGCGCCTCATGGAGTCCGGTGCCAGGCAGCCCCTCTCTCGCAACCCACCCCCGCTGGCCCCCTGCATGGCCCCCAGCAGGAGGGGCGGGGCTCCTGGTGGCCGGGTCTGGGAAGCTGAGACTCACAGTCCAGCAGGCAAGGGAGCACTTGGAACATCTGGAGAGGGAGCTACTGAGTGCTCTGGGCAGGGCGGAGAAGCCACACTGGGTCTAGGGTCTGGATAGGTGGGGTGAGCTTAGGAGCATTTGGGTACGGGCGGGGGGAGCATTTCAGGGGATTTGGGGCTTGATAGGGACCAGCAGAAAAGGACACGAAGGGTCTGGCTGAGTGCCCAGGCTGGTGGGACCCCTTCTGTCAGGAGTGCTCTGGGGGGCTGAGGTCAGGGATTCACCTTCAGGTAAGCCCCGGGGTCTCCGCTGACAACGAGGAGGTATCGCAGGCTCTCAAGGATCAAGAAGAGGAGACAGCAGAGGAGAGGCCAGGCCAGATGCCTCACTGCAAGAGCCTGGTCCCCTGCCACCCTGTCCCCTGCCACCCTGTCCCCTGCCTCCCTGTCCCCCGAGGGCAGAGGCTCTGCATTGTGCTGTGCATCTTCCTAACCAGCTCTGGGTCAGGATGTCTGCTCAGGTGGAGACCCAAAAGGGGGGCAAGTTGGGGAGGGAGCTCCTCCTCCCTCGCAGTGGAAGTGCCATTTCCCGAGGGGCCCGGGCCCAGGCTCCCCCTGCCTTGAGATAACCAGGCTCTGAGGCTGGCACCCGCCCCCCCCAACTCCCCCACCACACGCAGACACAGAAGGTTTTTAGGGCAGTGAAACTACTCTGTATGATACCATAATGATGGATACACAAAATTACACATTTGTCCAAACCCATAGACTGTACAACCCCAATAGTGAACCCTGGTCTGAACAATGGGCTTTGGGTGACAATGATACATAACTGTAGGTTCACTGATTGTAACAAATGTCCCATTCTGCTGGGAGATGCTGATAGTGAATGAGGCACTGTGTGCGGGGTGGGGCATGCAGGCGGTACATGGGAAATCTCTGAATCTTTTAATTTTGCTGTGACCCTTAAACTGCTCAAAAAATTAAATTTAAAAAATACAAATAAGTAAGAGACAAAATATTTGAACAGATTCTTCACAAGAGAAAATAGATGAATGGCTATACTGAGTGGATGAAAAGATGCTCAACATTGTGAGGCGTCAGGGAAATACCTCCATTAAACCACAATGAGACACCATTATGCACCCACTAGAATGATTAAACTAAGAAGACTAACAACACCAAGTGCTGATGAGGATTTGGAACATCTGGAATTTTCAGCAATGCTAGTGGGAATACTGAAGGGGCCAAACTTTATGAAGAGAAGAATTAGAGCCCCCCTTAGTAACAAGATAGGATAATGACTGAGCCTTGACTCAGATAAACAGCCCGTAAAAGCAGGGTCAGAGCTGAGGATAAGGGAGGAACTAATACCAAGAAAGACATATCAGGGTGCAGCCCCCATGCAGCTGGGCCAGAGTCGACAAGAATAAGGAGGAGGCATAGGGCAAGAACAATACGGATATGGGCAGACTAAGGGGAACAAGTTGACCCACACTAGAACAAACAATACCCCAAGATGATGGAAGAATTGTGACACCCCCAGTAACAATGTAGAAAAACCAAACAGCCAATAGCTAACCGCCACCTCTTGCCCTTGTATCCTGCTTGCTTGCTCTGCTTATAAAAATCCATGTAATCTAACAGCAGCGCGCCTTTTTTCCTTTCGAGGGAAAGGTGGCCCCTGCGCAGGTAAAACTTGGCCAAATAATGAAGAGTGTGTGATCAAACTCTAATTTCTGAGCTCATACTTGTGGGGATCGTAACAAATACCAAACAGTATAATCACTTCAGAAAAGTTTCTTCTACAGCTAAACGCACCTTCATGATTAAACTCAGCAATTCATTTACCCAAAAGAAATGAAGAATTATGTCTATACAATGACCTGTGTAGGAATGTTCACAGCAGTTTTATTCCTGATGGTGCAAATGTCCACCAACAGGTAAATGGATAATAGATTACGGTGTAGCCATACAGTGAACTACTACTCAGAAATACAAAGGAATATATATCAATGCGTGCAACAAACTGCATGAACTTCAAAAACTATATGGAACAAAGCCAGACACAAATGCACACATACATCATGGAATCATGTCAAATTCCAAAAAAGGCAAATCTGGCCTGTAGTGACAGAAAATAGATCAGTGGTTGCTTGGGGCAGGGGTGGGGCGGGTTACTGATTGCAAAGGGAGATTTTGGGGCGCTGTGAATGTTCTACCTTGATTACGGTGGTTTGGTGGTTTCATGGGTGGATAAATCTGACAAAACTCATCAAATGTATACTCAATCTGGATACACTTTATTGCATGTAAATTACACCTCAATAAAGTTGATTTTTTTTTAAACATCAAGTTCTCAGAAAATTCTTTTCTGACCACACCCCTCTTCAGCTACATCACCCCCTCCCCTACCCCCGTGTATGCACACCCTTTACAACCTGTATTTTTCTTCCACTGCATTTCCCTGAGTTTGTAGTCATGTTTCTATTGGTTTCCTGTTTGTTGGCTGCCCCCAGATGGGGAGCACCAAGAGGCACCATGCCTGCACACAGTAGGTTGCCATTCAATAAGCGCTCATTAGATGAACAAATACAGGAGCTAGTGAATGGAGAGGAAGCAAAGGGAAGAACGGCAGCTGGATCCGGGCCCGGCCGCACCTGCAGGGCTACAGCTCCGTGGACTGGATGACGTGCGGGCCTCTCCACGTGGGGCCCTGGCTCCGCCTGGGGAGGTTGAGTCTGTGCAATTCTTCAGAGATCTCCAGGAATGTCTTGCCTTTGGTCTCAGGGAGGAAGAAGCCAGTGTAGAGGGCCCCACAGACACAGACACCAAGGAAAGGCACATAGAGGAAGTGGGACAATCCCTCCTACAGGTTAAAAGAGACCCTGAGACCCGATGTGGCCCCATTCAGGCCCAGAATGGAAGGCCCCACAACAGGTCTTGAAGGGGGACTTGTCTCTGTTTGCTGGGATAAGCCCTACCCTCTTCAGCCTCAGTCGTCTTGGGTGGAGGCCTCCCACTGGGATTTTCATGCTGACAGAGACAAAACCTAAGGCAGCTCCCTTCCCCAAGCCCCCCTGCCCCCCCCACCCCGCCATACCCTGGAAGGGGCAGGCCTACCATGATGAAGGGGAACCCGAGCCCAACCAGGAAGAGCATGGTCCACATGAGCGCCCCACAGACCACGTAGGCAGCAGGCCGGGCCGTCTGGTCAAACAGCTCCGTGGCCAGGATGCCTGTCACTCCAGCTGGAAGGAGGGGAGGGACAGGAGACTGCCACCCAGGGCTCCCTGCCCTGCCTTTCTCCCACCTTTGCCCCAACGTGGGAGTGGGCCCCTGTGTGTTCTTCCAGAAGCCTTGGTAGAGGTGGGGATGGGGACATACAGGCAACATAGCATTCCCGCCCACCCATCTTTAACCCCGATGTGCATGGTCCTTCAGCAAGTCCCAAAACCCAGGCCCCCTTGAGCGCACTCACCAGGACCAATGCCAAAGCTGAGGATAAAGGCGAAGATGCAGGACATGGCCAGGTAGGGCATCCAGGGGAAGGAGCTCTGCCGCAGAGGGTGGAGTGAGGGGGGGTCAACCGGCACCCAGCCACCCGCCCCCTCGCCCCACCCGGCTACCTGCAGGCACAGCGCCACGGTGAAGATGCTCCCCCAGAAGGTCATCAGGCAGTATCCCCCCATCAGCAGCACCCGCCGGCCCACCCTCTCAATGACCGCACACTGAAAAGGAAAGCGCCCCCCCATAACTGGTCTGGCCATGGTCCCCTTGGTTTGGGAGGGGGGAGGGGCCTCACGAGGAAGTTGGTGGCGGGGTAGGGAGCAGTTTATTCCTTCAGGAGATTAAGAAATTAATTTCCCAGAGGTCCCTCAACTTTATTCAGTTTCCTCATCTCAAAATAGTGGTCTGAGTACCCAGCAAACAGCAGGTGCTCAATAAAATGCTGGCTAACTTGCCACATTTTAACACAATGACCTCGAGTGAGTGGGAAATGGCTTAAAGAAGACGGAAGTCCTTGGGTGTCAGCACCTCAGGCCCCCCCTCCCCCGCAGGGCTGGTGGCGGACCAGCCCAGAGCCACACTCACACTGACAAACGCCATGAGCAGCTCGCAGCACCCGGTCCCGATGACAGCATACTGGACCTTCTCCTCAGGGATCCCCGCCTCCAGGAACACAGAAGAGGCATAGGCGTACACCTGGGAAGGTGGGCACAGGGCCGGCTCTGGGGCACTGGCGGCTCCCAGGGGCCTGCAGCACTCAGCCCACCGCCCAGAGTTGGGGGGTGGCAGGGGGGACGGGCAAGGACCGCACCGAGTCGTTCCCGCAGAGCTCCATGGCACTGCCCAGCACTACGAGGCTCGTCACCTGCCTCCGCAGGGTGCCGTCCCCGAACAGCTCCCACGGGCGCCGTGCTCGCAGGCCCTGGCAGGCAGCGCGCTCCTCCTCCAGCTCCGCCAACTCCGCCGCCAAGTCCGCGGTGCCCCGCAGCTGCCGCAGTGCTGGGGCAGAGCAGGGCCACTGAGCTCTCTTTCTGCTGGCCTCTCTTTGGCCCCCCACAGTGAGCTTCCCATCCCAGACTCCCCTCTCTCTCTCTGGGCCCCCGTGGACCTACGGGTTGATCTTCCTGGCCCTGTCATTTCACAGCATCATGGGCCAGAAAGAGCTTTAAAACCTCACGATTCTGTGGATCCATCAGACAGGACACAGAATTGTGATAGATTGTCATCATCGTTCCCAGTTCTTCACCCTCTCCCTGTACCCATGCCCTTTGCTTTGGGATTTTGCAGCTGTTTCCACTAAACAGGCAAGTACACATCCCTCGGAGCTGGGTTCCGCCACGTGACTTTCCCTGCTCCATAGGATGAGTCTGTAGGGAGGGCATGCCCCTGTTCCAGCCCATGCCTCAAGGGACCTTGCTCATGTCTATTTGCTCTTCTGCCATCATCATAAAAACTTGCCAGGCTAGCCCCCTGGTGCCAGGAGGAGCAGAGATGGCCCCGCTGGTACCATACTAGATCAGCCAAGGCCCAGTTAACCTGCATGAGTGACCAAAAAGAGAACAGCCACTAGTCGGACACAGCCTACATCAGCCAACCCCGGAGAAGCCACAGAGGCTTGGATGAAAGAAGTTGCTTCTTTTCTTGGCCACTGAGATGCAGCGATTGTTAAGCAGAAATAGAAAACTGATGAATAAACTGGTACAAGGAGCGGGCGCTACCATAACTAGGATCCGTGATCTATGGTATTGGTTCCAAGCTCAGACAGAATGATGAGGAGGCTGGACAACTGAAAGTGTAGCGCAATAGCACGGCAGAGGGAAAAACAGACCTGGTGGACTTCTGGACTGGGACGAAGGGACTGCCAAGTGTTGAAAACATATACTGGCTGCTTTTAGCTGAGTACTCTAAGCTTGCTTTATAAAAAAAGACATGAGCACAAAAAGACCTTCAAAGGGAACAAAATTTAATTAAATTTAACTTATTCCATACTTGCAATGTTTCAAAAAACAAACAAACAAAAAAACATCTCTTTTCTTATCTCTTTCTTATTTCTTGCCTCTCTAGCTAGCAAAAGTCCCCAATTAAGGAACAGCCTGACAACCTCATAGACTCTCATGGCTTAAAAAAGGGCGCATTATAGGGGCTTTAGGGTGTTGGTCTACTGCAGCCTGATGTGCCCCAAATTCCAGGAATTAGGTCTCAGGAGAGAGGCATGTCTGAAAAAGTATTGTGAGTGTGGGTTTTTGGCACATAAATCAAATACATAGAAAATTCACATTGTTTTTGAGAAAACTGTATGGACAAAAGTTCTGCCAGCCTGGATGAAAAGAGGCTGAGGCCATTTGAAATGTAAAGACTTTTGTGCCCCAGCTTTCTACAGGGACATTTCCAATGCCCTCTTCAGCAGGTGACAAGGAAGGCGTTAGGCAAGGACATCTGGGAGGACAGGAGCAAGAACCTGGGGAAGCGATGGCAGGGGGCGGGGGGGGTCCCTCCCAGGAGGCAGAGGAGCACCCCCTACGCCCAGGGCGGGGGAATTGGCAGCGTTTCCCAGGGGTCCTGCACTGCTTTCCACTTCCTTGCCTCCTCCTCCCTTGAAATGTAGGTCGTTTTAGCCACATCATCCCGCTTTCACCACTGAGTACAGGGAGAGTAGAACACTTGTGTTTCTGGCTCCTAAGTCTCTGGATCAAGAGAAGGCACACATAGGCTTGATGTGATCTTAAGATCCTGGACTTCAAGCCTGGTGCCATTGGATAAGGCTCTGGGGTGGGGGGGTCCCAGATGGCAACCAGCATGTTTTACACAGAGGAGGGACGTGAATAATAACTGTGGCCGTGATGGCAAGCTGAGAAAAATATATTAGCGGGCCCTCCCTAAATCTATGTCCTTTGCCACATGAGAGGATACACCATTGAATTTCCCATCCCTTAACTTTAGGTCCAATAATGTGACTCTCTCGGGTCAATGGGATATTAATTGGCACGAGGAGACCAAAGGTTTGGAAAGTGCTTACTCCACTGGATTTGCTTTCTTGTGCTTCTGCCATCACCGTAATAAGAACATTCCTGGGATAGTTGGTTGGTACAAAGAGTGAGAAGAAAGGCATGCTCCAGCCCAGACCAGCCTGGATGGGCCAACTCTCAGCTGACTGCGACACCATGAGTCAGCCCCGCTAAGATCAGCAGAGTTGTGCAGCCAGCACAGCAAGTAAATGAGTAGACAATGCTATAAATGATTGTTGTTTTAAGCCAGAGATTTGGGGATCGTTCCTTGGGCATCATTACTGTGGCCGTAGCTAATGGGTAAGACCATCAGCAGCCATTTGGCACCGGGCCCGTGAAGTCTTACATGGTGTTTCATCGTGCATGTGTGTGGGGAGCTCTTTCTCTGCACCACCCTGGGGTTCCTGGGTAGCAGGCTCTGGGTCTGCTCCATCCAGCTGCCCTGGCACTCAGGGCAGCTCCTTGATAAACAGTTTTAAAGGGATCAAGAGCTGGCACAAAGAGAGGGACAACTTCTCCCTGAAAAATGAAACTTGAAAAAAGGGAACCCACGTGCTCTGGGCAGATGTACCTATTGGTCAAGAGTGGTCTGGGAGCCCGAGGCCAGGGACTCACCTGCCAGGCAGGCCTCAGTGTCTCCGCGGTCAATGAGGAGGTAGCGCGGGCTCTCAGGGAGCAGGGGCAGGGAGGCCAGCTGGAGCACCCCGGGCACCAGGCAGCTGGCCAGCAGCAGGGGCCAGGCCTGCGGGCCCCCCAGGAGCTCCCTGCAGATGCAAAGGAGAGGCCAAGCCAGACACCTCCTTACCAGAGCCCTGCCCGCCTGCCCGCCTGCCCCCTGCCCGCCTGCCCCCTGCCTGCCTGCCCTTTTGAGGACAGAGGGTCTGCATTGCTTCTTTGTAACCAGCCTGGGCCTGGACACCAAGACCCCTCCCACCCAGGTAAGGACCCAAGACAGGGCAGGGCTGTCGCTGCACCTTATCCCTAACAACTCCTCTTTCCACAGCTCCAGGCTTTGCCATCCCCTCTCTTTTCTGGGATGACCAAGACACGCTCCCCTGTACTAGCCCAAACCTCCACCCTCTTCTCTGTTAAGACCTGCCTTCTGCATCCTGATCGGGAGAGAACAGAAAAGTATGATTCACACTGAACTGTGTCGGGCTGACCGATACCCACTTTGTGTACTGACCAGATGGAAGTGGACAGGTTTCAATACCTTAATACCAAGGAGCAATGCCTTGATCACCTTAATAGATAGGGAGAAATTTAGGCCAAGAAGGGCTTTTACTGGCATCCCTCAAACCACCCTGCACATGGGGCTGCACTTACCTAAGTCCAACCACCTGACCCATTACGATCCCCAGGGCAGTGAAGATGGCTGAGGTCATGGTCACGGCGCCTCGGAGCTCCTTGGGCGCGCTCTCCCCCAGGTACATGGGCTGGATGTTCATGCTCACACCTGGACGTGTGCACAGCCGAGTCAGTCGTCAGACTGGATAGCATCCTGCGCCCCCGGCAATGCCCAGGCCTGCCTCCCCCACCTCCATGGCACCTCATCTGCTGGATCCTGGCCCTGAGTGCTGCCCCCTCACCCCATGCGCTTGGAGGGGTCCCTCCGCACCTGCTCTAGGACCGGCAGGACTCTAGGCCCACCCTCACGACTTCTGAGAGAGACACCTTTCTCAGATCAACGCCCACCTGTGCCCTCGCCACAGTCCCACCGTGGTCATTGACTCTTTCTAGACCCCGTCGCCGGGATGACTGTAAAGGGCTCTGAGTGGGCAGTGGGAGGAGAAGGGAAGGGGGCGTCCAGCTGCCCACCCGCTGCCCCAGCTCTCACATCAACACTTGCACTGACCACTGCTGCTGTAGGTTCTCACCCGTCCCCACGTCCCCGAAGACAGGTGGTACCCAGGCAACCAACGGGAAAACAGAGCCGGCCTCCCGCTGCCCACCCCTGAAGGTGAGAGCTGGCAGAAGCTAGACGGCCGCAGTATTTGGGCATCATCCAGCTGAGAATGCTGCAGGGAGTGCTGGTCCACTCCCTCCCTGACCTGGGATCAGGAAACAGCTCTCATCAGGGTCCCGCCTCTCTCTAAGCACTGGGTGCAGGGAGCTGGGAGGAAGGTGGGTACACTGACGGCTGAAAAGTCTCAGAGGTACCCTGCTCTTCCTACAAACATGTGGGGAGGGATTTCTTCCATGCTAGGTCCTCAGGGCCCAGAGACAAAGTCTGATCTGCTTCCTTTTCCCTGGAGTGCGGGCTCTTCTTACTGACTCACTTCTCACACATGGACTGTGGCAAAACCAATGGTGTATGACTTCTGAGGTTAGGACGTGAGGAACATCGGGACATCCTCCTTGAGCCACACACACGTCTGTCCTTCTCTTTCTTGTGAGAGGGACCCACAGGCTGAGGAGCTGCAGCCTCCTGCTGAGAGCCAGCCCCAGAGGACTGCAGACCCGCCAGAGGCTGACCTCAGCCTCACGAGAGACCCTAAGCCAGAAGAACCCACTAAGACACTCCCAGGTCCTGACCCACAGAAACTGACAGATTCTTATACACATTGGTTATTTTAAGCCCACTAAGTTTTTAAGTACTTTGTTTCACAGGCCTAGAAAACTAATATAGACATCGACACTTGGCTGATAGAACAGCAGGGAGTCAAGGGGGGATTTGTTGATGGGAGCCCCTAAAAGCCCAGGCAGATATGCTCAGAATTCTGCTCCTTCCCATGACAAGCCCCCAAAACTGAGGAGTCCCTAACAGGCTCCTCTGCCTCTGTATGGAAGACCAGAGAACTCATCTTAGATGTCTTTACACCTCGGCTGCCAGGAAGCTCATGACTCAGAGTGCTACTCACACACAGAACCCTGTTAGTGTAGGCTCGGGGATGTTTATCCCCACGTCCCTGGGCAACTTCTTCATTTTTCTATGCCCACTTTAAATGTCTAGTTATGAGCCTTTTAAGATAAACCAATTCAATCATTTTGCAAAAACAAGGTGGGAATAAGCGAATGAGTAGGGATGGAGAGGGAGGAGGACGCACCCGCCCGGTACCTGCGCTGACTCCCACGAGAAGCCGTCCCAGCATGATCATCTCGAAGGAGCCCGCTCTGCGGCTGAAGCCAAACAGGACTGCTGCAGCCACCACAAAGATGTTGTTCACCAGGAGGGACTGCTTCCTTGGGGGACGAGGAACACAGGCAAGAGAGGCTTGGGTTGGTCCAGAGGGACTAGCCCTGGGGACCCCTCTTCCCTTCTTTGCAACTCCAGCCAACGTTGACCGCGGGGCTGGGGGTGTGTGGGGGGTTACTGTGCTAAGGAATTCCGCGGGCGTGGTGGGGGTGTGTGTGTGTGTGTGTGTGTGTGTGTGTGTGTGTGGACTGTGCTAAGGAATTTAAGCCACGCAGGTGGAAATGACCTGGGGCCCTGTGGGGTATGCCTAGGGAGGCACACTCCCACTCCCCTCGCCCAGCATGCCCCAGGTCACTCCCCTGTCTGCCTGTACCACAGCTTGAAATGACAGAACTTATATTTTATGGCTTTATCCCTCAGATTAAGCACCACTCTCCCCAAAGTCCTCTGTAAAAAGATGGAACTGGTATCTAAATCAGAACCTGCCAGATAGCTGGATGGCCCATGCTCATGAGGTTCAATGGGACAGACTGCAAACAAAGAAGGGGGCACTGGGAATGCCCGCTGCGCCACCACTGTGAGGCATGGGCTCTGGGCTCCTGGTGCTGAGCTCGGGTGCGGCTGTCACACGCCTGCCAAGAGATCTCACTGCAGATCGCCCGGCTCACCATACTGATAGGGAAACTGAGGCCAGGGCTCTGCCTAAAGTCAATAGCACACTGGAGATAGAATATGAACCAAAGCTTAGATCCCCTGTGTCTAGAGAATGAAGAATGACAGTAGATTATAACAAGCTGGATCCAGTGGTAACTCCAATTGCAACTAATATACCACGTTTAGCTTCCTCACTAGTCCAAATTACTAAAGTTCTTCCACTGTGGCTATCTACCTGGTGAGTGTGTATTGCGACATGTCAATAGAGACATCAGAAACATTTAGCTTTCACCTGGCAGGGACAGAATTACACCTTTCATGACCTGCCTACAGAAAACAGCAGCTCCCCAGCTCTGGACCATAACCCGCCCCACAGGCCATCCTGCCGGTCCCACTATTTGGATGACTTTACACTGAGAGGACCTGGAGGAGAGGAAGCAGCCGGAGCGCTGGCTGTCTCAGTTAAGTGCGAGCATGACAAAGCGTGGAAGCTTTAAAATGAAGAAGCTGCCATTTCAATAAAATTCCTGAGGTCCAAAGGACTAAGAGATGCCAGCATATTTCCTCCAGAGTGCATGGCAAGTGGTTGCCCTTCCTCTATGAAAGACAGCACATCTCAGAGGGTTTCTCTCCATTTTGGAGGCTGCGTGTGCCACACTGGGTGTTGTGACTGGACACACTTCCAGGTGACTGGAAAACCTGGCAGCTTTGAGTGGAGCTAAGCAAGGGGGGTGTTCTCTCATGGGTCCGAGCCAGGTGCAAATAGTTTTGCCACTTGACTCTTCAGACCTGGGAGATCCTATGGTGCTCAAAGTGCCTGTGGCATTTGCTTAAAAGGAGAATCACAAGCAAGACCTCAGGTTTGGGAGGAAAGCTACTTTACTCCAGCAAATTACTGTCTTCTTAAACAGAAATAGCTTGTGGCTTGTCACTAGGCCCTAGTGGGGGAAAAAAAAAAACTAGAGTGGGACACCTGGTGACCATGTGCCCATCACGAACTGGGTGCCATATGACACTCCTAAGCTAAGGCTGAGTGCGCCTACAGCACGCCATCACGAAACAGAAATGGTGCGCACCAAACCTGGCCCCTGTGGGCCCCAGATTCTCATAGCAGGTTACAACAGCAGGCCTACACGACCATACTGCTACCTGTCTCCCAACGCAAGCCCAGGTCCTCCTGTCTTTAGTTCAAAACAAAGCCTGACCCCGGTTTGCAGATGGTCGGGTGGATATGTTGGTTCCGTCAGAAAGGTAGAGCTATGGCATGAAAGCTCACTCAGAAGTGACCCTAAAGGATACTGGAAGAGTTAAACTCTTCCTGTAGACAGAATCTTGAGCATGGAATTTTGTCCCTTTTCCAAAGGGTTTGGTTGGATAGTCAAAGTCTTAGATGGGACAGAATTTGAAGGCTGGTTTCAAGGAGGTGTAGGGAAGGGTAAACATATGGATCTCGCAGAACTGGCCCAGAACCTGAACATATATACATGTCCATGTTTCCACTCAACAGAAGCCCCCCGCCACTGCAGACGAGGCTCTTAACAATCTGGCAGATAGGACACACTACCCCCCGACCCCCTCCATCCTCCTGCCTTTCTCAGCAAGCCCAGTGCTCACTCCAGCAGCTCATAACGCAGCAGGTAGGGTTGCAAGGATAGAAAACGCACCTGGAATTGAGGACTGGGGCTTTCTGTCACCAAGCTGACTAACCACCTTGCCACCCTACACAGCTAACCCTGACTCCCAGAAATGGCAACACGTTGGGGTTCCAGTCAGCTACTGAGTGGCAGATGAACACCACGGGAGGCCTGCCATGGTTGGGGGACAGTGATGGTTATCAATGGAATAGGCATATGTGCTGATTTGAATCAATTCCTTCCCTTCATGCTTCTGCCAGTGCTATTATCCAGGGACATGTACCAAGTACCATTAGATACTCAGGCAACAGCTATTATTACCTCCTTCTGAGAAAGGAATTTCCTTCTTAGAAAGAAAGAGCCTCAATTTGTTTGGGAATGTGCCTCTACCTACCCCTTCTGGTTCAGCTATGAATCCAGTAATCTAACCCAGTCCTGATGATCTCACTCTCTATGCTAGAGACCCAGAGCTGGGCAGTGAGACACAGTGCCTTACTAAAAAGGCTTTTTCTTTCTGATGTAAAGCATTAGCTGAGAAGAAATCCCCCTTCTGCTGGACAGTGTTGCATTGGAGTGAAGCGCTGCTGTAGCCTGAGGACAAAGCCGACACAGTGAAACCGGAAGCTAAGGGACTCTCAGAAGAGCAGACCTGGGGCACGAGGCAGCCTTGAAGTCACCCACCGACAGAGTTCCTGGGTGAGATAAAGGGTCTCCTACTGTTTTGGCCAACTGAGTCGGGGTTTTTGTTGTTTACAGTGGGAGACATCCTAACAGATACACCTGTTAAATACACAGACATGCTACCCATGGAATTTTGCATCCAACAAAGGAAGTTACATCAGCCAAACAGGAAGAATGGGTGCCCACGGAATGCATAGCCGCATTACGAATCCCATCACCCAGAGGCAGAGCGGAACAGCCTGCCGAAGACCCCATACCATCAGGACTGCTAAGGCCACTCAAGAATGAGGATTTGGGTCAGCCCAAAGGATAAAGAGCCTCAGCCGGGGGAGCGCTAGCCAAGGACAAGAGTGGAGAACGGGAGGTGGAAGTCACCAAGGAAGGCAACAGCTTGTGACCACTTCCAAAACCAACAGATGGAATTCTGCCTGTGTTTCTGGGCTTCCTGTGTCACATGCTCTAAAATAAACTCGTCCGGCACTGGCCCGGTGGCTCAGCTGGTTGGAGTGTCATCCTATACACCAAAAGGTTGCAGGTTTGATCCCCGGTCAGGGCACAGAAGGGAGGCAACTGATCAATGTTTCTCACATCAGTTTCTCTCTCTCTCTGTTTCTCTCCCTCCCTTCCTCCCTCTCTAAGATCAATAAACATATGCCTGGGTAAGGATTTTTAAAAATTTTTAAATAAAAATCAAATTCATCCACTACTTTTCTTTTCCTTGGTTAGTTTTTCCCTTCTATTTCTTCTTCTTTCCTTTTCCTATGGGCCGTCTTGATGGCAGTTAAATTCACCATCAAACGTGCAGGTTGACGGCAGGGCTGGCAGAACAATCATCACGTAGAAACCCTGCCCTCAAAAAAAAGGTCCCCTTCGCATCGGCCCTGGTGGCTATGACAAGACAATGCTCGGAGCGGTCTCACTCAGGGAGAGGTGAATGCATACACTGGTGCAGACGATGGGGTGGCTGAGTGACGTTAGGCGGGGCATGTGTGGAGCGGACTATATGGGTGAAATGTGTCCCGGCACCCCAGGTGGTGGCTAGCGAAGGGGCCGACTGTGATAGCCGTTTGTTTTTTCTGCCTGCCGTTGCTTCTGTTCTCTCTTTCACAGGTGTAGGCATGTGATTCAAGATGGGCCAATAACAATCCATCTTCCTGGATTCTGCATTTTGGACTAAGACATTTCCCCCTGGAGGGAAGTCCACAGGTCTGGCCGTGGCGACCCTCAGTGCCGCTGTGGGTCTGGCCCCTCTCGAGGCCTGGCTTTGGAGCACTTTATTTCACCCTGTGAGCTGCTCCTGTATCCTTCCAGTGACTACAATTTTCAGTTAATTCACCCAGAGTCTGTCTTCTTGTTTGCTGCACAAGAACGGCATCAGTTGCATACAAAGTGGGACATGAGGCCCAGGGAGAAAACACTTGTTTGCAGTCAAATAGCATTTGTTGGCAGAGATGGAACTAGGAGCTCAAGTCCTCCCTCACACACAGCCCAGGGCTCCTTCCTCTGCCAAATCCTCTTGGAGCTGTGACTCTTATGGTGAAACCACAGGCAGAGCAGGAGGCTGGGGTCTGCCTGGCACCCCAGTCAGCCTGCAGACTGGGGTGACCCTCGTTAAAGGGAGTTGGGGGTTCACAGGAAGCACTTACCTTCCCAGCATGACGGCCAGGGGCCCTGCCAGCAGCGCTCCAAAGAGGCCCCCAAGGTGGTACAGAGACACGACCAGAGACCACACAAGCAGAACCAGGTGGTCAGGCAGTGGCTGGCCAGTACGCGCCTGCCACGTCTGATTGGTGAATTCCTGCACGTGCTGTGGACAGAGATGCCAGTCAGACCCCCGGTGGGGACTATGCACCACAGGCCTTCTCCTTTTCTGCCACAGGGCTCTGCCCCTGCAGAGAAGGCGCCAGGTCTCTTGAGCAATTCTACTCCCTGCCTGTGGGCAGAACAAACTCGCCTGAGCACAAACTCCCTTTCCCACACAGTGTCTCCTGGAGTCTAGAGCTGTACAGTCTCCACTTGCCCCTTGGAGCCCACTGTCACCCCACCGCCCTGCTGTGGGCCCTGGAAGCCACCTTCATGGCCCCCATCCGCTGGCTCCCTTGCCGACAGGCTTTCTGTTGGAGCTGGCCAGCGGTGAGCACCAGCAGGGCATCAGAGGGAAGTAGGAGGGGCGTCCGTTCCCGTCCAAGCCACATGGCACTTCCCCGCGTGCCACTAAACCTGTATTACTGCTACTGCACTCCCAGCGGCCTGTGTGCTCTCAGTGCCCTGCTCGGTCCTTCGTAAGCTGCCCTTTGTGGTACCTAACCCTGCCTGACTTGTCCGGAATGTGCTGTGTTTCCATGGGACCCTTGAAGGGGCCAAACTTTAACACTAGGTCAAGCCTGGGCCGAAACAAGAAACTAGAACAAACAATACCCCAAGATGAAGGGAAGAATTAGAGCCCCCCTTAGTAACAAGATAGGACAACGGCTGAGCCTTGACTCAGACAAATAGCCCATGAAAGCAGGGTCAGAGCTGAGGATAAGGGAGAAACAAATACCAAGAAAAACATATCAGGGTGCAGCCCCCATGCAGCTGGGCCAGAGTCGACAAGAATGAGGAGGAGGCATAGGGCGAGGGTTGAGCCTTGCCTCAGATACACATCCTGACCAGAGAAAGAGTAGGGGGCCCAGTAACAGCCTTGAACCTAATCAGCAAAAAAGAAAGAAAGAAGCTGCCTATTGCTAACTGCCACTTCTCGCCCTTGTATCTTGCTTGCTTGCTCTGCTTATAAAAACCCGTGTACCCTTACAGCGGTGCGCCTTTTTCCTTTCGAGGGAAAGGTGGCCCCTGCGCAGGTAAAACTTGGCCAAATAATAAAGAGTGTGTGATCAAACTCTAATTTCTGAGCTCATACTTGTGGGGATCGTAACATTTGGAGGCCCCAGCGAGATTCCCCCTTTTGTGGAGTAAAAGGACGGGAATCAAAGGGACCAGCTCGAGTTGGGTGAGTTAAACCGAGAATTCTCTGAAGGGGAAGGAAAGGCTAGCCTTTGCAGCCCTGAGGTGGTAGGTGAGACGTCACCGGCAGTCCACCCAGGGGGCTCCCAAGGAGGGGACGCCCTCGGGAGTCGCGACAGGGTCGCCTGAGGTCGGTTTTGGTGCGCAGCGCGGGGAGAAACGGGTACGGGAGCGCATGCGAAAGTGCCGTGTGAGTGAGCGAGTGCCTGTCTGTGTGACTCCACGGGACAGCGAGCCTACGGAGTCTGAGTGGGCCCCAACCTGCGGTTCCTCGGTCTGTCATATGGCATAACGGCTGGGAGGTAACCCGGATTCTACTCGGGCAGCCTTAGCTAAGACAGACCCAAGTCCCTCGCGAGAGGAGAGGCCAGGCGGGCGAAAGTGAAAGTGCTTTAATCGTTCCTGTCTGTCCAAGTCGTCTCCTAAATGTGCGTGTGTGAGGCCGGCCGAAGAGTGAGCGGTGTAAGTGAGAGAGTGGTGTGGAGCCTGGCCGCGTGTTTAATCTTGACCCTCCTCGGTCTCATCAAGTCACGATCTTTGGACCCAAAATACGTAAAGACATGGGACAAGGGGGGATCCACGGGAGCGGTCGAGGGTTCACCTTTGGATTGCATCTTGAAAAACTTCTCTGATTTCAGAAAGCGGGCGAAGCGCTATGGAGGGAGTCCTCCCGACCCGGAGACCCTCCGAACGTTCTGCCAGCTTGAGTGGCCCACCTTTAATGTTGGGTGGCCGACTGAGGGAACTTTCCAATTGCCAATTTGTTTCTCGGTCCAACGAGTCACCTACGTGGTGCCTCATCCGGACCAGCAAATCTACATCAATGTCTGGACGGATATTGCCACGGATAGACCGGGCTACGTCCGGAAGTGCAGCCAAGGGCAGGCAGGGACAAACAGGAGGGGTAGAGCGGTGTGCTTAGCCGCTGGATCGGGCGAGAGGAGAGGCCCCCAAGGAAATAGCAGAGGGGGGAAGTGCTGAGCCCCAGCCGTCATCGGGACCTGAAGGGAACCGGCTGTATCCAGTCCTGCCAGGCCGGCCGGAGGACCCCTTAGATCCTGTTAACGCCCCACCGCCGTATCCCGCCCAGGCGGCACCCGATTCCTCCGAGCAATCCGGGGAAATTGTTAGTCCGCCCCACACCCGGGGAGGGACCTCTTACAGTGGTGAGAGACAGAAAGGCAGGCGCGCTCCGGACTCTAGAGAGCCGGCCCTGCTACCGCTCCGAGAGGCGCCCACGGCCCCGGACACCCCTAGGGCGCCTCCTAGGCTAATCTATGTCCCCTTTTCCACGAGTGATCTATACAATTGGAAACACCAGAACCCCCCCATTCTCTGAGAAACCCCAGGGCTTGATTTCCCTACTGGAAACTATATTCCGGACCCACCAGCCCACATGGGATGATTGCCAGCAGATATTGCAGACCCTGTTTACGTCTGAGGAAAGGGAAAGGATCCTGAGGGAAGCAGGGAAGGCGGTTATGGGAGAGGAAGAAGGGACAGCGGGAGGAAGAAGGGAGTTGGAGGAAATACTCCCCTCCATCCCCCCCGATTGGGATCCGAACACTGGAGGGGGAAGGGAGGCACTTCTGCAGTACCGCCGAGCTCTTCTGAGGGGATTGCGGGCAGCAGCCCGCAAGCCCACAAATTTTGGGAAGGTGAGTGAGGTAGTGCAGGGACGAGACGAGACCCCTGGCGCATTCCTGGAAAGATTAATGGAGGCGTATAGGGTATATACCCCATTAGACCCAGAGGCAAGAGAGAATAGGAGACTCGTAAACATAGCCTTTGTCACGCAATCAGCCACGGACATAAGGAGGAAATTGCAGAAGATAGAGGGATTTGAGGGAGAGAATATCAGTAAACTGCTAGAAATAGCCCAAAAGGTATATGTCAACAGGGATGACCCAGAGGTTGGGAAGGCTAGGGAAGTAGCAAAAATTTTGATAGCGGCGCAGAGGAAAGGAGGTGCACCCAGAGGGAACACCGGTAGGGGGAACAGAGAGAGGAGGGGAGCCCGGCTAGAGAGGGATCAGTGCGCCATCTGCAAGGAGAAGGGGCACTGGAAGAGGGAATGCCCCAAGAGGAAGGGGATAGAGGAGCTAAGGGGGACCCCTGGGGTGCTCCTGCAGACCCTGGACTGACGGGGCCAGGGCTCCATAAGCATTGGCTCCCGGGAGCCCATGGTCACCTTGACAGTCGAAGGAAGACCAGTTGATTTCCTAGTCGACACGGGAGCCACCTTTTCTGTCCTGAAGCAGCCCCAAGGAAAACTAGAAAAGGAGACAGCCAAAATTGTAGGGGCCACCGGGAAATCAGAGACTTATCCTTGGACAAGTGCGAGAATTACGGACCTTGGAAAAGGGACAATCACTCACTCTTTTCTGATTATACCGGATTGCCCCTACCCTCTGCTAGGAAGGGACTTACTTCAAAAGTTGCAAGCCTCCATAGTGTTCAAGACACCCAAGGAAGAGAAGGGGAACCCCAGCTTAGAAGTTACTGTTCCTCTGTCGGAAGAGTACCTGCTAGCTGTGAGTGAGGCCGAGCCTCATTCCACTGGAGTTCCCCAGGCACTCTGGGAAAAGATACCTGGGGTATGGGCAGAGACCAACCCCCCAGGACTGGCAGTACATCAGGCGCCAGTGGTAGTCCAGTTATTGAGTACAGCCACCCCAGTGCGAATCAGGCAGTATCCGATTCCCGCCAGAGCCAAGGAGGGGATAGCTAAGCACTTGCTGCGGTCACTGGCCGCTGGAATTCTGAAGAAGTGCCAGTCTCCCTGGAATACTCCCCTGCTGCCTGTGCAGAAACCTGGGACAACTGATTTCCGCCCTGTACAAGACTTAAGGGAAGTGAATGCCCGGGTAGAGACAATACATCCCACAGTGCCAAATCCTTATACGCTTTTGAGTGCTTTGTCTCCCACCCACAAATACTACTCGGTCTTAGACTTAAAGGATGCATTCTTTTCCATCCCACTGGCACCCCAGAGCCAGGAAATTTTTGCCTTTGAATGGAATGACCCTGAGCATGGCCTGGGAGGTCAGTACACCTGGACAAGGCTGCCCCAGGGCTTTAAAAATTCCCCTACCATTTTTAACGAGGCTCTCAGCCAGGATCTACAAGAGTACAGGAGAAAACACCCCGAGGTAGTACTCCTACAGTACGTAGACGACCTTCTCGTGGCTGCGTCCCACGCCAGTGATTGCGAACAAGCAACAGAGGACTTGTTGAGGGAGCTCGAGAGGCTGGGATACAGGGTCTCAGCCAAGAAGGCACAAATCGTGTCTACCAAGGTAAGCTACCTGGGGTATGACCTGAGCGGAGGATTAAGAACCTTATCTGAGCTAAGGGTCCAGACTATCCTAGGGATACCAGAGCCAATCACCAAACGGCAGGTGAGAGAATTTCTAGGAGCCGTGGGATACTGTAGGCTCTGGATCCTGGGGTACGCCAGGCTTGCACAGCCCCTCTACGACATGACAAAGGGGAAAGAGACTGAGTTTGCCTGGACTGAGGAGGGGCGGGAGGCATTTCGGGCCCTGAAGGAAGCTCTTGTCTCGGCCCCGGCATTGGCCTTGCCCGATCCAGCCAAACCGTTCCTCCTCTATGTGGCAGAAAAACAAGGAATGGCCTTAGGAGTGTTGAGCCAAACCCTGGGCCCTTGGAAAAGACCGGTGGCCTACCTGTCAAAGAAATTAGACCCGGTGGCATCAGGATGGCCAGCCTGCCTGAGGGCCATAGCGGCTACCTCAGTCCTGGTGAAGGAGGCGAGTAAGCTAACCTTGGGGCAAGACATCC